AAACAAACACGAAAACCAATAAAAGCAATGAGCCCAGTTTCCCACCTCACTGTGAGGCATCTCAGGTTTAGGTCTTTGTTTTAGGGCCATGGAAACCTTCTCTTCCCTCCAGCTTGCTCCTGACAAGCAGCAGGGCACCTGGGCCCTCAGTGACCCCCACCACTCCTGGGCAGCAAAAGGTCAACCTAAACGCTCTGGTGTTTAAAGGAGTAGCAAGGCAGGGAGCCAAGAGCTCCATGATGCTTAAGAAAGCGGATTTTGTAAATCCTACTGGTCACCCGTCAGTATGCTCCCATGGCGTTTCAATCCGCGGTTTTGGCTGCAAAGCTCTAGGTCTCGCTGGTCACTTTGGGAATTAGGCCCGCCCTGCTCTCCCTCCCGCCGCCTCGTTTCCTTTGGGGGCTGGCGGCGCCCTCTGCTCCCCCAGGCTGTACAGGGTGACTGGGAGGGGATGGGGGACACTTTTCCTACCTCCGAAATGCCTCCTTTCCACCTCCCGCTGACACGCGGCAGGTTCGGCCTTCAATCTGGTGCAGCAGTGCCCTCTGGTGGTCACAGGCTGCAGCAACTCCTCCCTCAGCAAGTCCGTGTCTGCTGGAAGCAGCTCTGGGAAGCTCTGGCCTGCTCTGGTTCCCTCTTAGGCAAAGATGCTGACGCTCCAGTGGAGCCGTGTGTGACAAAAAGAGTCTGCCTCTTTATCGCTCACTCTGTCACTAGCCATCTGAGTATGGCCTCAGCAGCTCCTGCCACTTCTCTGGGTCTCTCACCTATAAACGGAGAGGATTAAACTAGATAATTTCCAGCTGTAATATTCAGGATTTGTTGTGGTCCAGAGAGAATAATTCATTCAACAAGTACTAAGTGTCCGTCAAGTGTAGAGATTCAGGCTCATCAGAGAGCAAACCTGTGCATTCCCGGAACTTTAAATTGCAGCAAGAAGAAATAGTTAATAAGCAATAAACACAACACAAGCAAGAAGGGCCCCGTGTCGTCTACCATCAAGGGGTTCAATCTGGATTCTTCCCAGGGCTGCACTGCCTTGGATTGCTTTGATAAAGGAATCTGCTTCTAGAGCAATTCAGTCCTAAAACTGACCTGCCCGAGGATCATGCTGCTGCTGTGCCTTTCCCATCTCTTCGTTCACCAACGGTCTTCTCCCACTCCACACACAAGCACCCATCTAAAGGGCTTGGGAAATGCTGGGCTGCAAGCAATTAGGCAAACTTCAAACAGCGGGTGTGGCAACAGCTAACCCAAGGCAGCAGAAGGCAGCCCATCCCCACCACCCGTCAAACGACAGGCCCTTCCAATAACACTTTCATTTTTATCTTTTATCATTATCTATCAAAATGATGGTATGCCTATATATTAATAAATTGATCGCTAATAAGCACAGTAAGGGTAATTAAACCTGGATTTCTTTTTACAAATAGGCCCTAGTGATCAAAAGAAATTAAACTTTTTAATTTAAAAAAAAACAATATTAGAGAGGACTGTGATAGGATGATCAAAATACACTCATAAAAATACATTGCATGGAAATAAAAGTGGAGGAAGTAGAACTGATGGAGGGTTTCAAGGAGAAAAGATTACAATTTTTAAATTGTTCTGTGTGCTTTCTGTGGACAATGGTAGTTAATAAGTGGCTATGGGATTTATTTCCCACTGGAGCTACACATTTTAAAGTAATGCTGCAGTTTTACTTTAAAATGTAAATATTTATAGTAAACTAGAAATATATAATCTTGCAACTATTCCCTCATGAATCAAAACTTTTGGAGGACAATTTTAAAATATGCAAGGGAGTCCTTCTTTCTGGAATATTACTATAGGAGTGCGTGAGCAGAAATGTTTGCTGCCATCAGCATAAGGAATTAAAGGCAAAGTTGAACAAGCCTTGGCAAGGACAGGAAGGCCTAAGGCACCTCGGTGGCTGAGCATCGTGGACTTGGGTGTCGCCACCATCAACATGGCTCAGCACCATCTGATGTGCCTGACCTTCAGCTCAGAGCTCCATTCTGGGCAAAGGGAACCCAAACGGCCCTACGTAAGTTGTACTCAGTTCAGAGGGGGCTGCGGGACACCATGACTGAAGGTTGCACCCGAATCCCTTGAAATGCAGCAGGGGGAGGCGGGGGAAGATTCCCCCAAAGGAATCATTATGATTATCCAAAAAGAGGAGGGGAATTTGGGAGTGAGCACCCCTCCTCCAGGAAAGGGCAGCAACAGCCACTGCAAACCCATGTTCAAGGGGAAGCTGCAGTGAGAAAATACATGCTGGGTGAGTGGGTGGGGATGAGGATGTCCCAGAGCACAAGGAGAAGGATTAGACAGATGGGGTGGGGGGCACCTCTTTTGCCATGGCTGAAGCAAGGAGGAAGGACAGGTGTGGGTGCAGAGAATGTGCAGGTGGCTGAAAGGAGACCCGGGGGAGGCCCAGTGATGGTTCCAATGCTTCTCTGTAGTGGGGGCAGATAAAGCCACTCGAGATAGGGCCTGGTAGGTCAGGAGCTAGGGGATGCAAGAAATAGTTTCTCGTGCTTCTTAAGACTGTGTTTTTTTTTTAAGAATCTAATGCTCTTAGCACATAGGCACACCGTTATAATCTTGAGACATTCAGTCTGATGTGCACTAACCAGGAGGCAGACACTCCATGCAGGAGCTGCCCCCTGGTGGTCAGTGTGCTCCCACAGGGGTAGCGCCACTCAGCCAGAAGCCAGGCTCACAGTTGGTGAGCGCAGTAGCTGGGCAAGGGTGGGACCCTCCCATGGGGAGTGGGTCTAAGCAGGCAGGTGGGCATCTCCCAAGGGGTCCAGAACTGTGAGAGGGTGCAAGCCGGGCAGAGGGGCCTCTCACCCCTCCCAGTGCATGAATGTCATACACCAGGTCTCTAGTTTATAAATAAAACATATACTGTCATGGTAAAACTTCCTTTAAGGAAACCCACCAATGGATTTAAATTATTCTATCAAACTTTAAGATACACATAATCTTAACACAGCCATTTCAGACGCTAAGTATAAGGATATTCCTGGCAGCTTTATTTTTTATAACAGCAAAAACTTGTCAGAGTACTGGTTAAATAAATTATCCGCATATGGAATATTTCGCAGCTATTAAGAGAATTAGGGGTATTGTCATGTAAGACATCCAAGATAGACTGAATTTAAAAGCAGGGTAAAGAAGTGTGAAGAACATGACATCACATGAAGTTATATTTGCAAGACCATAGAGCATTTCTGAAAAGGTAAGTGAACACTGGTTATAATTTACCTTTAGTGGGAGAAATGGGTGGGCTGGGGAAAAGGCAAGCATGATTTTTGTTTTGTTTTCTCTCAGAGCGTGCATCACCTATCCAGTTTTCTATTAAACACACTCCCTCCTCACACAAAATATGTATATGCCAATTGTGGTACAGCCATGTTGAAAAGGACTTTTGTGTAGTTAATTTCTAGAATATCCCAATGTAGATTTATTTGTTTGTTTTATTTATTTAGTCAATAAAAAGCTTAGGTTTTGCTAACTGTGTGATACTGGACATATCAACCACCTATGTAGCCTCAGAACTCTTCATCTGAAAATGATGGCCTTAGACTTCCCATCAACGAATGCTTTCCACCAATCTCTTCATGGTGTAATTTGACTTGGCAACACGTGAAAAAAAAAATTGCAATACATTGGCAAAGAGAATTGGTGTGTGTCAGACAGTGAGGGGTGTATGGCAGCACTGATTATACACAGTTACTCTTATTTTTATAATATGTCTTCTATCTTAAACCACTTTACAAATTCCTTTTCTCTTCCATTCCTATTTGAAACACCCAAGGAACAACCAAAGAGGCGTATTCAACTGAAGAAATTTATTTACTTTTTTTTTTCTAGGTACATAGATGACAATTATAGACAAGTTTTGATACATAGGAAAACCCTTTCTGTCCTTTCTCTTTGCTAAATGAATCGTCACAATAATTTTTTTACAATTTTTAAAACAATAACACAGCTTTCTTGGGCTGAAGCAATCGCGAAAACATACTGGTACTGGTATATTACAGCTACTTACAATGTTTAAAAACAGCAATGGAGAAAAATAAGTTATTTAAATACTGATTTCATATACAGAAAGTGCAATGTTGTTAGTTGTTATATAATTTGCTTGACAGCTTCTTGTTTTCTCTATCAATTTAAAAATCAAGGAAACGCGGACTCGGATGACCAGGTTTGTTTTTCTGTAACGAACACAGTACCCACAGGCAGCAGGGACTTGGTGAGCTGCCTCCCTTCGCTCTGGCACGGAAGCACACTCTGCTAAATCGGGAACGGATTACCAATACCCCAGTGGTTTCCACTGCCACCGCCCCCAGTGCGGGCGGAAGGAAAGGGCCTCTGGCTAAGAAGGCAGGCCCTTCAAACCTCTCTCCTGCTTGGCTACATGGGAGTGTCAGGAGGGGCCAGGGTTGGCTGCCTCTCCCCTTAGACAGCTTCCAAGTGAAAATGTACACCACGGATGTGTAGCTACCTGAGCCTAACTGCCTTTCCAGGTTTCTCCTGTGCTTTCCCAAGACCGTTTCCACCGATTCCTCAGCCTCCTGTGCCGAGGGCAACTGGGTAAACCTGGATATTGCTGACACCGACCACCTGCCTCCCACCACCTGCAGGCGGCCCCACAATGTCACCACAAACACAGAGGCTTTTTTTCTTTTCTTTTCTTTTTTTTTTTTTTTCCAGGATCAAGTTAAGAGTTCAAAGCAAAAGAAGACCCAACAAATACTAACGATTAAAAAAAAAAAAGGATTTTAAAAAAGCACAATCAAGTAAAAACCACCTCAGAACTTTAAGATTAGGAAGACCTTCCCACCGACAACAACTCGTGGTCCCTGAATTTGAGGTTTGTATGCAAAGGCCATGGGTTCTGAGGAAGAGTGACAAAAGCACGGTTTGGCATTCTCAAAAGCTCAAGCTCAGAAAATTCCCTTTTCCTAAATGAAAATGTTGCAGTGAAAATGAATCCAACTGTGGGAATTCATACAAGATTTTTCCTTCCCCTGTTACCTGATTTATGGGTGGTCCTTTTGCTCAGCTTTAAATATGAGCAGGGCCCCTCACATGTCCTGCTGAGCTTCCAGCACACACAGGGAAGGGGCCGTCTTAGCCCCGCCTCCACCACGTGGTCACAGGAGAACTGCAGCCGCCTAACTTCCCGGATGGGCTATGATAGTGGGCGGCAAACTGCGGCTTGTGAGCCACATGTGGCTCTTCGGCCCCTTGAGTGTGGCTCTTCCACAAAATACCACGTGCGGGCGCGCACATGCAGTGCGAATGAAACTTCGCGGCCCATGCAAAGGAGTCTGTTTTCAGCTCTCAAAAGAAATTTAAATCGTTGGACTGTTGATATTTGGCTCTGTTGACTAACGAGTTTGCCGACCCCTGGGCTATGCTAACCGGGATGTCACAACCCAAGGTGACGGGAAAGGGCTGTTTGAAGAGTGCCACAGACATTCGACAGCTTTCTTATTCTAGAACTCCACAACTTCTTCACACGGCATTCTACAGAAGGTATCAGGGAAGCATGTGCATTGCTTTTAAAAATGCATACCGAAGCATGAACTATACATACATCACCTGAGAACAACATTCTTTCCTCCGATACATGATTTAAATAGATAAAGCAAACACTGAAGATGGCTTTGTGATGAAGGAAATCCCTGTTTTCCCTCCTGAGGGAAATCATTTATCTTAGTGAACAGAACCTTGGGTCAGAGTTTTGTGTTGAATTTGTATAGTAAATAATCACATCCAATGCTTAACAGCACAGTGCTCACGGTAAGAACGTAAAGCAAAGTCATCTTGTAACCTTATCCGTGCCTACATTTCTGCTGGCTGGAAAATCAGGCACGAAGACAAAGGGAGGATAGAATGGGCTGATATCAGTTGTAAACAACCGAAACAAGCAAATCTGCGGCCTATGTGGTATGTCTGGCTCCAAAATGAACCTCTATTTGAATGAAAAGAATTATCTAAAGAAGAAGGAAAACAAAATCTTAATGGTAAAAAGGGAGGGGTGGAAGGGAGAGCTTTAAAAACATCTCATAGACTACTTCCCTTTTCCAGAACATCAGCCTGATCCGATGACGGAGTTTTGGGATGGACCTGGTCAGGAGTCCAAGCCAATATGGCAGCAAAGTGACCAACAGGGTAATGTCCTACACTGATTAAAACGAAAGGTGGTTACAGAAGCACACACCCCCACACACACTCACATATACACACATGGTCTCTTCGTGAATTCCAGAGAGTTTTTCACTAGATTTGTAGCTCGTTTAAAAACTGAAAGCCAACGTGACATTTGTGCCAGGGAAACACTCCTACAAAATAAGCCACGGAGGAGGCGATCATCAGAAAAGCCCATTTTTTTTTTTTGCTGGGAACGACCCAGATGTTAGACGGCAGTCTAAGCCGAAGACTTGGAACTATGGTTACAGGGCAGTGAGCACTAGGTTAGATAACTGCTTGGAAGCGTACATTAAGGCAAATAAAAGCAGATTGCTGGAAAGCAATTATTACAATGTCTCCTTTATCTGAAGGAGAATAGGACTTCTTTTCCTCTTAGTGCAGACAGGTTTTCTTACTTTTGAACTAACGAGCATGTCCACCGATGTACAATCACTCCCGAGTCTGTGACTTTGGCCTAGCTGAGCCTGTCGGGCCCTTGGGGCTCCTGCGGGGTCACAGACAGAAGGTCGACGGCAGCACCGTGAGAACCGGAACTGGCTGTCCCTCCCTCTGCCCCCAGCCCTCTCTCCCAGCGCACCCACAGACCGGAGGCACAGCATGTGTGGCGAGTTGGCATCTTGGTTCTGTCCTGTTCTGAAAATAAAAACAAGTGCTCCTCTTTTCTTTGGGGGTGGTGGTGGGTGGGGGGGAGGTCAAAGAGAAGCACCCCTGTTTCCTCAAAGGGGCTTTCCTGGAGAAGTTAGGGTCATCGGTCCTGAGCCAAGGTGTCGAGCTCCGTCGGTCCACACGCTGGGCCCTTCTTCTGGATCTGATCTGCACGTCCAGGGAAGAAGAAGTTGCATCAGCGTTGTAAGCACAGTGAGAGGGTGGCTCCGGCCAGGCGGTCCCCCGCGGGCCTGGCTACATGGCCTCGGGGCCGGGCGGCAGCTTGAAGAGTCTGGCCGCGGACACGAGCTTGCTTATGTGTCTCTCCTCGGTGATGCCCGCCTCCTGCAGGCAGGTGTGGGACAGAGAAGGCACGTGGCCCAGCGTGCAGAAGCCCGCCTCGGCGAGGGCGCCGGTGTACATGGGCAGGCCGATGGAGATCAGCCAATCCGACACGGACGCCACGCATCCCGGGGAGAGGGGCTTCCTGCAGATCTCTGTGAGCCCGCCGCTGGGGATCTGGGTGAAGGAAGAAAACGGGTTTTAGAAAAGACTCCACAGGGGCCACAGGAGGGCTACTTCTTACGTGCCTAAGAGGAACACTGCTGTACTACCAGCAAGAGATGATGCTCTATGTCAAAACCCAACGGGCATAAAGAATCTTGTCTGGATTTTTCAGAGGGGAGACACATTTTCAAGGAAGTAGTTGAGGCTCTAGAACAGTGGTTCTAAACCTTTCTAATGCCACGACCCTTTAATACAGTTCCTCATGTTGTGGTGACCCCCCCAACCATAAAATTATTATCGTCACTACTTCGTAACTTTAATTTCACTATTGTTATGAATCGTAATGTAAACATCTGTGTTTTCCGATGGTCTTAGACGACCCTGCTAGCGACCACAGGTTGAGAAACCACTGCTGTAGAGCCTAAGACCATCGGAAAACACAGATATTTACATTACGATTGATTCATTAACAGTAGCAAAATTACAGCTATGAAGTAGCGACGAAAATAATTTTATGGTTGGGGGTCACCACAACATGAGGAACTGTATTAAAGGGTTGCAGCATTAGAAAGGTTGACAATGACTGCTCTAGAAGGTATGTGGAATTAGATCTAGCCCAAAACTCTCCACACTCCGAGCACTTGCATTTCTCGCTGTTGTGTCTTGGAGTGACCCATTCTTTGGGGAGAGATCCCCCTGGTGACTGAAGAGGTGGGCCGTCCTGTGCAATGGGGTGAGAAGTAAAATGCTCATGGTTGTGTGCTTATCAAATAGATGTTCCACTGCAATCAAACCTACATGAACAGCTACAAGATTAAAGGCTTATCAATACTGTTATAAAGAATCTAAGATACAATAAGAACGAGTATTAGGACGGGAAAATGGACTTGGGGGAAGACCAAGGGCTAGACCTTACAAAAGGTAACGGACTACCCCACGTGCACACCCTGAGACTGTGTGTCCTCTCCAGGAAGCAAACCCTTTCAAGTAATGTCTCCTCAGAAATTAACCTCCGATGACTACAAAGAATGGTTTTTACAACGTTACTGGGGAAAAAATATGGAGAAAACCTAAATGTTTCTCCCATACAGACTGGCTAAGCTACAGCACATTCCCCTACTAGAACACTTTGCAGTATTGCTGACGTGAAAGCACTCCAATGCAGTTTTGAAACCTGTTTTCAGTTGTCAGGGAGTGAGTCTAGTTCTCTTTAATAAAGTTCTTTTGTGTCATTTTGAAGCTCTATCACTACATGGACTCCAAAAGCGGGGAGAGGGGCCCCGCAGAGCACCCGCGGCTGCTCACCGCCATGCGGTGCTGCTTGCGAAGCAGCTTCACGCGGATCTGGTCCATGTTGGCGGCGATGTCCCTCTCGGGCTGGTCCAGGTCCTCTGCGTATCTCTGCACCAGGGCCTCGGGGATCCCGCAGCGTCCATGCTGAGAGGGGAACAGAAATGTGGTGTCAGGGTGGTCGCGGGGACAGCAACAGAAGGTAGGTTAGGACACCTAGCTACGCCTGGGAAACAGCACCGGAAGTGTTCATTGGAAGGGAATGCATTTTCTCTACAGCCAACATGTCTTAGAGGGAATGCTGTTACACCTTTATCTTTCAGGTAGTTATGAGCTCTAGAAATGTTTTGAAACATAATTAAAGCAGAACACAATCATCCTACACTTGCAGGGCCAATGCCCTCATCTCACTCTACCTGGTCATTTTGCAAAATATTATTGAAAACCGTCTCCTGAGCTGCAGGGCAGCCTTCTGCTCTGCCATAGCCTCTTGCTGCGCCTTGTCCAGACTTATACCTCAGGCTGGCCCGGGGGGCCCGTGGGTTACACCGTCGCCCCAAAGGGGGTTATTCACTAGACATTACGGACAAGGAGGATGTTATGTGGTCACACAGTTTTATTACAAGGATGCCATGACTGCATTCTATTGTACCAGAGCTTGCATTTCCCTGAGCAACGTCTGGCTACATCTGTTCTCATTTGTCTTCAAAGTCATCGTGGTCTTGGTAGACCATCTTCATTTGTTTCAAATGAGAAATGAGTTTTCATTATAAAGTTCCATGTTCTTGGAACAATGCGATTTCATATCTTTTCCCCCGTTATCCATACCAGATGATATGCAATAAAATTATTACATCTGAATAGGGTTCTAAAATTTTGAAAGTATGTTCACATTTATTTTATTTGTTCCTAATAACACCTCTAAGGGGTAGTTATGTAGATGATTATCAATTCCATTTTACAAACAGGAAAATGAAATGAGGGATTTTTAATGTCTAAAAACATACATGTTGAGTTAAGGCAGGAAAACTGGAACTCAGCTCTGTCCTGTACTCTAAACCAATGGTCGGCAAACTCATTAGTTAACAGAGCCAAATATCAACAGTACAACGATTGAAATTTCTTTTGAGAGCCAGATTTTTTAAACATAAACTTCTTCTAACACCACTTCAAAATAGCTCGCCCAGGCTGTGGTATTTTGTGGAAGAGCCACACTCAAGGGGCCAAAGAGCCGCATGTGGCTTGCGAGCCACAGTTTGCCAATCACGGCTCTAAACCAAGCCTTTCAGGAAGCAGTACTGATTGACTGTTCTCTCTGCAACGTACAGCTGCCAAAAATAAAAATCAAACAGGCAAAAGAAAAGAAGAGAAAGGAAAAGACCACCCACAGCTGTATTTGCACTTAATCTGGACACTCTGTCCCCACCATGCCAGCACCGAGCTGCAGAGGCCCCTGCTGCCGGCCACCCTGCGCTCTGTCGGAACGGCCCCCGCCTCCGGGCTGGCCTCCTGGGTCAGCCGGTGCTCCTCTCGCCTGACCGCCTGACTACAAAAGCGGAGGCCTGTGACGTGGGGCCAGGGCTGTAGGTACCTTATCGGAATAGGGCTCCTCGGTGAGGTCGATGCCTTCAGCTCGTAACTTGTCTTCAGTGAGCATCTCCAGGTCCACTCCCCGAGCGCAGGAGATCTTCCTGGCCCCGGCCGGGCCCAGCCTCACGCCGTGCTCCTGCAGGCTGGCGCTCTCCCGCAGCTCGGAGAGCCAGGGCGGGGGCCGCGGGCTTGGTGGGCTGCCGGGCTCCTGCCTGGAGGGCGGCTGGGGAGCCTGCGGAGAGGGACAGCCGCCGGAGCCCCCCTTCTTTAGGGGCAGACTGGGTGCGCTGGGGCCCGGAGGGCAGGGGTGGAGGCCGTTGGCCAGGCGCTCTTTGCTCTTCTTGGCAGGAACGGGCGGAGGCTGCATGGGATGTCTGCCTGGCGCCATGGCCTCGGGGCCCCTCTGCTCACCCTCTTTGGCGTTCGGGGGCTGACAGGTTCCTTCGGGATCAAGTCCTTTTCTGTGACCCTCCAGAGGAGTCCTTGTGAAGCCGAGCCTGGGAGGCTGAGCGTCCTGGCTCTGGGGCAAACACGGAGGAGGTGACAAGCCACTGGAAGCGGCTGCCATGGAGCCGCCCAGTTTCTTAGTAGTCGTTTTCTGAGGGTCAAAACACCTCTTGCTTTGGGTCAGTAGCAACGCATTGTCAACAGCAGACTCTCCTTGGGGGCCATGAGCCTTGGCGACCGAGGGGGCTGTCTTCTGTGGCACTTCGGGTACAGTCTGGGGGCAGGGTTCGGTCACCGCGCCAGGCACATCGTTGTCAGCGTCGGGCTCTCCTTGGAGGTCATCCAGGGACTGGGATCGGGGCCAGGTCTTCACGGGCTGGGGGCCCTCCAGGGTCTCACAGCTCCGGCAGATGGAGCCGGGGAGGCTCCTGCGGTTTTTATTCAAGCCGGTCACACAGGGCGGCTCACAGTCCTTCAGAGGGTGCGGGCTCAGGCCACTGCCCAGCCTGCCCTCCACCCCCTGCTTCAGGGCGCCCGCCGCCTTGGGCAGCGGCAGCATGGGGAAGGGGCCCAGCTGGTTTCTGCCGAAGGACTTCAAGCTGGACTCGGCGGAGGACTTGGCAGAGAGAAGTCCAGACTTCCGAGACTTGCCTGCGAGACAAGGAAGTGGGTTACAATCCCATCTTAAAAGGTGAATCAAGCAGATATATAAGCACACAGGTGTGCTAGCATAATTCTCCAACGCCTGCATCCCAGGGTGAGATTCCATACACTCAGGGCAGGCAAGCACCATCCGTGATGTGATGTTGAGTGGTAAAAGGAACACTGTGGTCTCATTTTTATGTTTAGAAAAAATTCCTAGTCATTAAAGGACACACGGAGACAGAAATTAATAGAGTTGCGTGGGAAGGAAATGTGCTGTGTCAGGCAACACAGTAAGTCTGTTCCCAGCTTCAATCCGTAGGGAAGAGGCTGACCATCCACAACCCACTAAGGAACCACAGAGTCCGGACTTCTGTCTAGACCAGTGGTTCCCAACCTTTCTAATGCCGCAACCCTTTAATACATTCCCCAACCATAAAATTATTTTCGTTGCTACTTCATAGCTGTAATGTTGCTACTGTTAGTGAATCGTAATGTAAACATCTGCGTTTTCCGATGGTCTCAGGCGACCCTGCTAGTGGTTCTCAACCTGTGGGTTACGTTCTACAGGTTGAGAACCACTGCTGTAAAGCCTAAGACCATCGGAAAGCGCAGATGTTTACCTTACGATTCACTAACAGTAGCAACATTACAGCTATGAAGTAGCAACGAAAATAATTTTATGGTTGGGGGTCACCACAACATGAGAACTTTATAAAAGGGTCGTAGCATTAGAAAGGTTGAGAACCACTAGTCTAGTGAGCATCAATCCCTAAGGTCATGGTGGCAGGGGGGGCAGTAGTTCATAAATGGTACTGCCCCTAAGGTTCACCACGGACGTCTCAAATCACGCCTTCCTCCACGCCCTCCCCTCTTTGTGGTTTGTGTCTGAAATAAATTAATCCTAGAAGCAGTCAACCAACCACGGTACAAATAAGCAAACAAGCTTAAGAGAGTATTTTGCCTGAGACAATCTATAAAATATTGACAGGGTTCTAATTCCCAGTGAAACAACAGCCCTCATCAAAACAAACTGTCAGACTATTAACTGGACTATCAACCAGACGCAATCTACTTATTTGGCAATTGTTGACTGATATTAGCCGCTAAGCCTCACTGAATGTACTAGGGATGGGTCAGGCACTGTGCTAAATGCTTAGCTTTCATCAATATCTATCCATCTCTCTCTTCCTCTCACTGTCCTTTGTCACATTTTTGGTTAATACCATGCTGGTTGTAGGCATTGACCCTGGGCTGATAAAACATGAGCCAAGAGATAACTTCCAGGTATTAACCAGCCCTTGGGGAGGGCTGGCCCAATGGTGCCGTGTGGGGACCATAACTCTGAGCCACAGCCAAGCTCTCTGAAGGAGGAGGAAGGAAGGACCTTATTAGAGGTGGGTAGTTGTATTCTGATCAGAAACTTGGAGGTTTTTGAAAGACAAAATACGATATTTTAAGATGTAATTGTAGACCTTTTATTGTCCGAGACCTAGTTTGGATGAAGTCTGCCTTTTCACTTAATTTTAGTATAATATTAATTAGATGTTTTCATACTGCAATCGTTGATAGACCCCCACAGAACCCGTCTTTTCAGTGAAGGAGTCCCTGTAACTGTGATCCCGGAGCTAACATGAAAACACCAAGGGCTGCCCTCCTTGCGCTTCCTATGTACCAAAGAAGAAACACTGAGGCGAGGGATGGGGATGGGGCTGAAGGAGCCACACCTCATGCCCTGGCTTGGCATCATCCTCTCAGAGGGCTCCTCAAAATCCTCATGTTGAAATGAGAGGCCCCTCCATGATAGCCCCAAGCGCTGAGATAATTTTGCTCCACAGAATAAATACGCAAACACATATGCAAAGAGGTCCTCCGTGGTATGTTTTGTCTTTAACTTTATTTAAAAATAGGCCCACTTATTTTAACCCATCCCTGGTTTATGAAGGCACTTACTATAACAAATACAAACTGCATTCCTTTCTGGCTTACAGTTCAATGAAGCCCAGACACCGCTGGCCGATGTATGATGACACTAAGTAGAGGAAGGACTTGAAAATGCTCATGGTGTTGGGAAATAAGGTCTGAAATATTGCCTGAGAGTCTATTGTGAGCCAGCGTAGAAAAGAACAATGGCTTCAGGTATCATATAACCTCTCTGAGCTTTAAAGTCTCCATCCATACCATATGCTTGCAGGGTTTGAGTGATAATTAGTAATCCACATATAAGCACCTAGCCCACTGCCCATTTCCCAGTCAGTGTTGAATGAATGCTGGATATTATTAACATATTACTGCTTTGCTTAAGCCCTACAACAATCTAGGAAAGAGAAACTCCTCCTGCTATTTCAGAGGCAAGAGGGCTCAAAGACATGAGGGGAAGATCAACGTCTTCAGCTCACAAATGTTCTGTTCAGGCTTCAAACCCCAGGTCTCCTCACTTTAAACCTCAGGGCTCTTCCCATGACCGACACTGAGTGCTAAGATTCTAGCAGTTTCAGGACAATGGGAAGTGAAGGGTCTTTTTCCTGAACTCTCCATTTGTGTCCTAGGAGGGCTAGAAGGCTGACAGGAAAACGGATGCAGTCATTTCTTAAGAACATCAATTGCCTGGGTTCTTGAAGGATGTTTATTCTCCCTGAGGATCTTCATTAAACACCAATAATCCTAGAAAATGCCCTCCTTCTACTGCCTGTATGTCCCCAAAGCTCAAACAGAGGAAGACAGACGTCATTAGCCGAAACACATGGCGGGGCCTCTGGGGTGGTCTGTGCCAACATTACCGTTTTCCAGGTTCTCACTGCTTTCATAGCATCCCGAGTCCCGCGGGGAGCACCCACTCAGGGCCTGGCTGTCAACGAGCAGCTTCTCCTGGGATCCAGACTGGTCGCTGTTACCTGGAACAGGTGAGACGGAGCATGGAACCATGAGCAAAGGAAAAGCAGAGCTCCCCAGTCAACCAAGTCCCAGTTTTATCCTCAGTCATCACCACCCGTACCGTACATTTTTGAGCCTTTGACTTCTGGAAGAACACTAATTACTTTAAAGTCATAAAATGGACAAGATCAGAATATTTTTCTTCTCAAATAAATTATCCCATGAAGACGAATCTGGAGATTGAGAGTAGATAGATGGAGTACATCGATGCTTTTTAGGTTACCCAGAGCAGGAGGAACCCAGAGCCTGTGCCAACCATGGGGAAAGACCAATCAGGGTCCTCTCCCAGGGATAGTCCCATGGAGCAGAAGTAAAGAGTGAGGACGCCCCTCTCACAGCAGCAGTTGAGCCTGTGCTTCTTAAACATCTCTAAGATTTGTGTTTCGTTTCAAGTTATTTGTCCCAGGCTTTCCAAACTTAGCAGCTATCTTAAAAGTGTCAAATGAAATAGCGAATTCCGTTACAATGTGTAGGCATCCTTTGGCCTTGGCGACATGTGCTGGCCCTTGCATTATCTCAATGAAACAAGGCGGGCAGAAGGAGACACAAACCCCTACACCCAGGAGGGGCCGGGGATAAATCTGTGGTGAGGACCGTGCTGGAGCGCATTCTTTCCCTTCTGCTTCCTCCCTTGCGTTGGGTCAGCATTTCTGTCCAAAGGATACAGCAGGGAGAGTTCAGGAAGCCCTCTCACTGGGACCCTGAGTAATAAATACTCTGAAGGTGGGTGACGAGAGTTGAACGCCCTGATTCTGAAGAAAGGCAGCAGGTGCTTCTATTGAGTGGAAGTCTGTCTAGAGGGAGTCCCCATGGAAGTCCCGTGGGCTTCACCAGCCAGCAGTCACTCCGCACGCTGCACAGTAAGGGCACACATGGCCTGACCCGGGATGGAGGCTACACCACGAACATCTTTCGTTTATTCTACAGAGTAAGTGCTTGGGCACCTAACGCAGAAACCAAAAGAACTAGTTGCATGATGAGCGGCTTTATTTTCTTTTCCTTTTCTCGTCACATGTCCTCCCCTCCTGCCACAGACTCAGAGAAAGAAAGAAAGCAACACACCAGAAATCCGATGCCCTTTCTCGGGTCATTAGAAAAGTAAACTGTGGGAAGGCAGAGGGTTGCCATCCACATATGTGCCAGTGGCTTCTACATCCACTTACCACTTCCTGTTTGTACTACTCACAGGGAAAGCATTTTATAACAGCAATCTTAGCAGAAATCATGGCAAGGGAAGCCCTTAAAATAGACCCCCAAATTAAGGAGTACTAATTTTTAAGTAATGAATAATTAACTAATTGGATGCACAAGAGCAAATCTTACCTCTCCACCCCCCCTGCCCAAAACGTGGAACATTCTAGAGTGATGTCCTCATTGTGTGGAAGCGTCTGTGGATTTGGAGTGGCCTCTGTCCTAGCCCAGCATGTTATTTAGGAAAATGATACTTACAAAATGAGGGCTTTGAGCTATCAGTTACAACCTAGGAAGAGGAAGCAATGTAGTCTGTCCTTGGCAAGGACAGTTACTGCCTCAGCTATAACAGACCCCAAAGTGCTGACCAGTGGGGAATAAACCAGAAACCTTATCCCCCGACACCGCGTGACGAAGCTGACGATATCTACATCCTTGGGGATGTCAGCCTCATCAGACACAGCAGGTACCTGACGTTACCATGGGGATGGGAAGGGAAGGGTTGCTCCCATCACCCGAACGCGAGGTCAGTGTGTAGAATCACGAGGCAGATGTCAAGGGGCTACTGTCACTTGCTCCCTAAAGGATTCAGCTACTGAGCAGGAACCTAACTCTCAAGTTTAGCAAAATTCCCTTAAAAGGAAAAGCCAGCGTTTCCCAAGCAACTTGCCCTCCTCCACTGGAGAGAAAGAGGAGGTGGGGCACCCCTAACAGTGCGGCAGAACCAAGGCCAAATCCTCTCCCTGCAGTTTCTAGAATTAATTTCAAGGCACAAAGAGGAAAAAAGGTGAGTTAGAACCATGAGAATTCTCAGAGTCAAACAAGAGCGGAGGACTGTACTGTCGGGCTGATTCTGAACTTGCCCCTGAAGGGACTTTGATGGAGCTAAAACTCTTCCACACCCCAACTTTGACACACACGCACAAACAGACACATACACACAGGAGGAGGAAGAATATGCTAAGACACGGATGAGTATCCAGACATCAGAAGGTTCTTGTGCACAAGGACATGAGCACTTCCTGGAGAGCAGTTATCGCCGAAAGGAGAAAGGGAAGGGAAGGGAAGGGAATTCTTGGACAGCAGGCCTTTCAATGGGCTTGTAATATTTATTTCTTTAAAAGGAAAAAATCCAAGCAAAAATGTTCACTTTACTTGGATTTAGAGGGTGGATATGTGGATCTGTTTTATTTTTCTCTGTACCTTTCTGCATATTTGAAATAGCTGCTCATTAAAATTCTTATAGAAATTATTTTCGTAAGGAAGAGAGCTTTCTGGGGGCAGCCCTGGGACAGTGGGATCCGTGGAGGCAATTGCTGTTGGACAATGGGAGTCTCTTCCAAGTGGAACCCTGCAGGAAGGCTGGCATTGCGCAGGCACAGGTGCAACAGGGCAGGTGGGTAGATCTGCTTCTTGCTCTTGCAGAAGCTGAGCTAGAAGCCTGCAAGTTCTCTAAGACCTCAGTATATCTCTCTCTCTGTCCAGTGATTAGGAATGTAGTGTGACATATATCCACTGTGTACCTCTAAGTGGCCAGTTACCTAGCATACTTCTTAAACGTAGAATTTAATTGCGCTAGGTGTAAAACCTTATCATCTGGACACAGATCCTTGTCACTAATGAGCACCCTAAGTCCTGGAAGCCTGCATCTTAGAGCCAGCGAAAGGAAGTGCCATTTGATGCACTAGGGATGTTGTAAACAGAAGTATCGCATACCTTGGAAATGGGTTTGTGAAGAGGTCCTTGAGCCTCTGAGAGAGCATCATGACAGGCAAAGATTGCCCCTTACAAAATAGCTCCTGTGCAAATCTCAGGCTGAGGTTCTGAGAAGGACAGGGTGTCCAAGCCAATGAGATAGAATAGACACTCAGCTCAGATCCTGCCTCCTCCTTTATTAGCATCACTCCTCCCATGTTCTGAATGGTAAAGGAAACGTAATGGGCAGGGCTTATAAACCAGCTGTTCTCAGCGACGGAGGAAGAGCAGATGAGCGATTTTATAGAGCAGATGTGGTCCAGGAGACCAGATAATTTAACCTTAATTGTTCTTAATATAGCTAGTTGGCCACACAGGCACTGAGCCAGGCTCTTTAACACAACCTGGTCCCAGACCACCACACCACCCTCACCCCTATAGACACCTCTAATACTGAAGAGACATGGTTTTAAAGTGATATTCACTATGAAACACTCTTCCCTCCAAACCTATCCCTGAAGGCAGTGTGTAGATCTAGAGTTCAGTCAGCCACTTGATGGCGTGTGGTCCCCTGTCTCACTCGGTAGAGGAAAGGCCTCCTGAGCGGAGACACGTGCTTCCTTGTCTCTGGGGCCTGATGCCTTCAGGAATGTATAGTTTTTCTCTCCCACCATTAGCCACGGTTTGGTGTGTCTTTACAATAGAAATGCTATTAGCTGCTGACATCCCTAAGCAAAGCACTTGAAGGAAAATGCATTTGAACTCAGTAGCTGGAAAGGATGCTCTGTTTGTGATGAATAATTTCAGGAATATTTTTGATATCAGATTGGAGAAGAAAGAGCGAGATAAGACTAGCTTAATGGAGCAAAGGACACAGTGTATTTAAACAGACTTCATAAAAGCTGCCAGCCAGCTGAGTTCTGTTCACAGGCTGTGAGAAAAGCTATCGTTTTGGCCGAACCCCAGCGATACGGGATTCTCTGCTCTACGTATTCACTGCAGCCATTTCCTGCTCCTTTCACGGAAGCTGGTGGATTTCATTTATTCATTAGCCAACTTTTCAGGAAGAAAATAACTCCCGTGTGCTCTGAGAAGTAATTAACCCTCGGCTGAGCAACATTCTCCCCATCTGCCAATCACTTTGGGGCCCAGGTTTCCCACCGACCTGCTGAAACCACACCTCCCAACAGCTCCTAACGTAACACCTACTGCGTTTCTTAACAAAGCTATGATTCCATTCTCGGTCACTGGACAGTTTCACATATCCACCTTCTAAGTCCAAGTAAAGTGACCATTTTTGCTTCAGTTCCTTTAAAGTAATGTGTTACTTCTGATGTTTGGATACTCAGTGAGCAGCATTTTCCTCACCCAGTACCTGGAATCACGTCAGAAAAGACATCAGCAGTAAGGTTCTCTTCTGCTCCCACGGGAAGGTCTGCCCTGGGAACTTACGTCTTTGTGTTTTTGATATAATACAAAATGGAAAGAGTAGGACCACATGAGTGACTCCAGGGACCTAAGAAGATGCTGGCTGCTCACGGGAGGCCTCTGGTGATTGAGTGCAATGACGTAAGGAACACTGCTGTGTGGGTGAGGGTAGGGGTGGGGGGGACTTACTGTCATACTCCTGGAGCAGCTCCACCGCTGTCAAGAGAACGGCTCTATGTTCTGGGTCCTTGATATTTAACTCATCCAAGTCCTCCTCCTCCAGGAGCTTAAAGGTGTCCAGATCCTCATATCCATTGAACAGGAAGGTGGGCATGTGCTCCTGGGAGGAAAGAACACAGATGTGGGTCAGCAGGCTCAGCCACGTGATCCATGACTGACAACCAACCTCAAACCCCTAAACCCCTGTTCCATCGTTGTTGTTATACTACCCTGTTTCCCCGAAAATAAGACAGTGTCTTATATTAATTTTTTTCTCCCAGAGTTGCGCTAGGTCTTATTTTCAGGGGATGTCTTATCTTTCCATGCGCTAGGTCTTATTTTCGGGGGATGTCTTATTTTTCGGGGAAACACGGTAATTGAGAGAGTAGTGCCATGTGTAAGCGTGCCATGTGTAAGCGCCAAGTCATCTGGCTCGGTAGATGGGGGGAGGGAGGAGAGGCGTTTCACTGATCACGGGTTAAGAATATCTGCACTGCAGGAGGAGACAGGTTCCTTGGCTTATATTTCAATTGTGCCCTTGCTATGAGCTGATCTCTTTACCACCACACGGTGCACTGGGGACAAGGCCCTTTCGTTTACAGACCTACTGAAATCCAACTCAGAAAGGCCTGGGACTGCCCCGGAAACAAGGCGGTTTTGCAAGGAGGAAACAGAACCCAGCACTGCAGCCAGATGCTGGCAATGACGTGGGAGAGGCGAGAGGAGCGAACACTCAAGCCTCTGTGGAGCCCAGTGAGCAGGGACCGAAGGGCGTGTGCTCACTGCCCTTCCTGGTAGGCAGTAGCTTCAAGCCGGGAGCATTTTAAAAAACAGCTCTTGGGGGACTAGTAGCAAACTCTGACCCGCAGCTTAGCTGATACCCACGACAGAGGTCAAGGGCAGCATCAGCATCCGGACAACCATTTCTGTAGAATAATGGCGACTCATCACAGTAAGAGGCCACCCATAGGGAGGACATAAGAGCACCCTCTCCCCTTCCCCGAGAGTGGCCTCTCTTGCTTAGTCTAGAAGGAGAGGCAGCATGGGACCAGAGCGGGAGGGAACTGACTTTGAGGTTAATCCGGTCGAGAAGGTCCTCCACGGACTTGGGCTGGGGTGGTCTTCCTTTCCTCCTCCTCCTGGTGGGGCGCTTGGGCTTCTCCTCCTCCTCGTTCAGCACGTCCACGTAGATGAACTTGAAGGTGCCCACCTTGTTGTTCAGCAGGCCCATCCAGGTGCCCATGGGTGGCTTGCTGATTATATCGATGACGTCTCCTTTCTGGGGCCCAGGGAACAAAGACCTTTCCGTTAGGCACATTCCTAAGCATGAATCGTGAATCCATGAGAGGTTTGCATCCCCCACATGCGGAAACACTATGAAGGCCAGAACCAGGGTCCTACGAGTCACCTTATGAATGGGAGTGTGGGAGAGGGCCAGACCGAACACTCCAGACCGCGCTGGAACCCACACGCCCAGGCTGAAGTGTCTGTCTCCCAGTGCTCATGGCTAGGCGGGAGGTACCTGGCTCTCTGACTGCCTCGCCACCATCCAGAGCTCCTACTGCTTAAGAGAAAGAATTTCCCCCAAAATGCCAGTGGCAATCCCTGCTCTGTGACTGCTTCCTACACTGTGGAACGCCGTCTGCCCCATTTAATGCCCCTGACCACACAGAGCAGGCAGGAAGGTTTCTTTAGCGAGAGAAAGGCAACAGGAATTCTACAGGGAAGCTGAGGTGGGGGTTCTGGACCAGGAGGATGAGGTGGTGAGGACAGAGGATTAATACGAGCCCTGCCTCTGTCCCAAATGCTGGCTGGTTCTGTTCTGTTTTTCCCTCCAGAGGAGAGCAACTTATGAAGGCAGCCAAGACATTGGCCGGTATGCACCGCAGGAGCCCAGCACTCCACACAGGAACTGAACTCCTCCTAAAGAACAAAGAGCCCAACCTAAGGCCAGACAGAGACACACCTTGAGCTTGAGAGAGTCTGTGTCGTAGGGGCTGGGGGTGAAGTCAGTGTGCACCCTGGCGCGCCCACAGAAGGGGCCTCGGTAGGGGAGCTCCTCATCATCGCCGTCTTCCGACTTGACGCTTTCCCGGTTGCTGGTGGAGGAATCGGTGGTACTCACTGTCTGGCCACCTGTACAGGAGACACAGGGAGAAGGAGGATAAATGCAGATGTTCCGTGGAGAAAAGCAGAAAGACACCGAAGAAGCTGCAGGTTAGGACACGAAGGGCAGAATCATGAGCCAGGACCACATCAGGACCAGAGCAGGACCCAGGGATGAATCCAGGGAGGGTCTGAGTTTTCTGAAGGCTAAAATCCAGCCCCTCATGGCACAGGCAGGACTCAGCAAGTTATCTCTGTGATCTGGGAATGCAGGTGACATCACAAGCCCGGAACATTCGGGCCCTCTCAATGGTCAAGCATAACATTTTTACCCCATTTCCGGTGAGGAAACACACTCAGAAATGTCAAATAACTTGCCCAAGGCCAAGTGCTTTAAAGTGGTGGATTTAAATGTGGTCCCTTTCCCCATACCATTCTGAGGACACCACCACTGCTGCCAGTGGTTGACCAACATTTATTGTCAGTGACTTCTATCATTCTCCTCCCTGCCCCCGTCTCTTACTGTGTTGGTCATCATGATCTTGAAGACTTGACTTATCCTCCTCCATTCTCCAGATTGTTCCTCTGAGATGCTTTTCCTATCTTCTCTGACCAAAATTCATCACCCTCTCCCTTGTGCCACTGCTGTACATTCTCTAAACAAAGACAATTCTAGGTCCAGATATTTGGCAGATCTCTCTCTCTCTCTCTCTCTCTCTCTCTCTCTCTCTCCCTCTCCCTCTCCCTCTCCCTCTCCCTCTCCCTCTCCCTCTCCCTCTCCCTCTCCCTCTCCCTCTCCCTCTCCCTCTCCCTCTCCCTCTCTCTCTCTCACAGCACCCTAAGGGTAGGAGCGTGGGCTTCTTTATCTTTAAATTGCCTGAACCTTACACCCAGTAAATCTGATTTTGATTCCACAGGAAATCATCTACAGTTACAAAGCAGACGTACTCATCGAGCTCTGTCCACTCAGCGAACTCCGAAGACTCTCTACGGAACCTCCGGCTTTGAGCTTGGGCTTGTCCATGTGTTCACTGTCAGGCTGGGAGGGTGGCGGGGAGCCAGGCATTCCATCGAGGCCCACGTCCTGCAACAGATTTCAACACAATTACGTTTCATCAGAGAGGACAGCTGTCATTTTGTAACTCAAAGCAATTTAGCCCTCAACTAGAACAAATCCAATCCAATTTTATACCCATATTTGATGCCATAGCCAGTGTTCTCCTCCTTTTTAATCTATATCCTTGCTCCAGTTAAAGTCTGGCCTGTGTATCAATTAACTGAGCACTTAAAAATTGTTTTTCATGCTCAAGAGAAATTCTTGAAACCCCTGAGAAACATCTATCTACCTTCTACATAAAATCCTTCCTTAAAAGCTTAGAGACGCAGCACACTCAACAGTCCAGTAGAGAAGCCAGATTTCAAATGCAGATCGAGCAGAATCCATTAGCATTGTGTATCTGGGATCACTCCCAGGAAGTAAATCATCTATTTGAAGGGAAACATTTACCGTAAATATATACACATTCCTTGTGGGTTGTTTTTTGTTTTTGTTTTTTTAAAGACCAGATTGATATGTCTCTAGTTATACAAATTAATAAAATTGGCTAAGGAAATACCAACTCAGGACCCAGCCACATAGCAAAAATACAATTTTTCAGCCCAGCCAGTGTGGCTCAATGGTTGAGCATCAACCTATGAATCAGGAGATCACGGTTTGATTCCCGGCAGCCAATCAATGATTCCTTCACATCATTGATGTTTCTATCTCTCCCTCTCCCTTCCTCTCTGAAATCAATTAAATATATATATATATATTTTAATACTACTCTTCAGTCTATGGTGAAATGTCTATAGGTTTAGTTATTATCCGTTGTTCCCAGGTTTTAGTACCTATCACTTCTTTTTTGTGTTGTTAGTAAAAAGCTGTGAGGACCCTTTCAGATCGCTTTTGGGGTGGCTCTGGCACAGCCAGGCAGCCCCTCCTTTGCACATGTAAACGTAGCACGCTCATTGGGCTCCTGGTGTGACAATGTCTCTCCTCCAAAGTTTGCAGTGAGAATGGTTTACTTGCCACAACAGAAACCTCCCTGGCATCTCACACAGCCATGTGAGCACTAAACGAAACCTGTTATTTGTGTGGTGCCGAATCATCAGAAGAGCGTTAACAGGATTCTGTGGGTCCTGCAAACATTGAAGGTCAACAAACAGCCATGGCAGCTTCGGATCCGAGACATTGTGCTTCACATTTAAGGAAAGTGAGCAGATTGCCTCAAAAACCATAAACAGAGGTGCCATTATTTGGGAGTTACTGAAGCTACAAAGTATGAATTTTTAAATGTTTTTATTGATTTGAGAGAAAGAGGAAGGGGGAGGGAGGGAGTGAGAGAAGGGGGGAGATATATATAGAGAGACATCAATAAGCTGCCTCCTACACGCCCCCCACCCGGGATTGAGCTGGAAACCGGGTGTGTGCCCTGACAGGGAATTGAACTGGTGACCTTTGGGTGCACAGGATGATGCTCAACCAACTGAGCCACACCAGTCAGGGCCTCAATGTATTTTCATTCCTAAATCATAAAATAAGACATCCAATTACATTCTTTTTTTTTTTTAATGCTTCTGCTACAAGCACATGTGGTTTTAGGGCTTTTTAAACAATAGTGGTATTAAATATACCTCGCTAATATTGTATGTTCTTAAATGCTATCAAAAATTATTAATTTACTCAGTACATACTTATGGATATTCCCTATAAGAACAGGTAGTATTCCAGGTAACGGGCATATTGCAGGTAAAAGTCCTAATCAGAATGGGTGGTATACAAAACCTTGCAACATTCATATTCCCTCCCCAAAAGGCATTATAATACTCACTTACTCCTTCTCTCCCCCTCCCCCCATGTGAAATGACTGTTTTGGTGTAGTTTAAAAAAACAAACAAACAAACAAACAAACAAACAAACAAACAAAAGACTAAGAATACAAGGTGGGTGTATTGTAGTAAAATAGGAAAAAAATGTTCAATGACAAAGTTCTGTGCTCAAGCAAAAAACCTCTATGAACGTGAGCTTAGTTAGGGGAAAAGCCAACGAAATGAAGTGCCACAAACTGGAGACACTGACTCCCTGGCATGGCACCCCAGGAGAGCGGGGTGCACTTCATTTGTGGTGAGAGAAACAGAATCCCCATCGCGCCCACACCCAAGGGCCAGGAAAGGCAAAGAACACAGAGAACAATCGCAGGGAACACCCCGTGGAGGCAGTGACCTCCCCTGCAGGTCTGAGAAGCCGGGGCTGAGAGCTGAGCACTGTCAGCCTGTGGATGAATGATGTGGGTGCTGCCCTGTATTCATGGGGGTGCTCTCCTGCACATTCTAAGATGCCTCCCTGGCCTCTGTCCAGTAGATGGCAGTAGTATCCAGCCCATCCCACCCCAGTTGTGATTGTCTAAATGCCCTGGGGATGGTGGGGGAGCAAAACCATTCCATCCCTGTGAGAACCAACACAGTCAACTGAGGCTCGTGGGCAGGCCTTGTGGAATCACTAGGTGGCTGGGCTGCCTAGCTGGTGTGACTGATACAAGGGCTGCTTGGATTTTAGCTTACTCGGCCCACCAGAGGGCAGCAGCTGAGCCCACATGTCCGCTTTGCCTATTTTATATTTGGTAAGTAAACCAGCATTACCTACATATTTGATAGTTCAAGTAGAAAATCGGCAGACACTGAAAATCTTCAACAGACCACAAAAAACATATCCTACAGAGGTGGCAGAGGGGAGGGCTCTGAAAATCTAAGGGTCAGAATTACCTTTAGTCCCTCCACCCACACAAGATAGAAACTGTCTTTCTAGGGATGGGATTACAGAACGCAGGGGATCAGTTCTGAGTTATTGGAAAGCTGCAGAGAGAGCCAGTGAGTGAACCCATCCCTGTGGAAACATGAATACTGCTGAAGCCCACTGCCAGCAAGCGCTTTCCGAGTTTACTTCTCAGACTTGCTGTGTGTTTCTACCAACAAATACTACACTGGAAAGGTCTGCTGCCTAAGAAAACTTGAGTTCTTTTTTTAAGTGTTGATTCCAATGATATCCGTTTTGTAGCAAGGGATTTATTTTAGAAAATAGAATCTTTTGTGTTTAAAATTTGTGCCTTTACTGCACTAAAGAATGCAATTTTTTTCATGCCTGCCTCTCCTTCCATCTGAACGTAGAAAGTAAGGCCTGCACTTTGTATTCCCAGCAAGGTGCGGGGATGACCCTAAGTGCTTACTCCATGTTTGCTGTACCAAATGCTCGTCTACATAAACTAAGCATGGTCCTGCGCCAGGAGAATGCCAATGAATGTCTGAGTGTTCAGCACCATTTAGAATCTCAGACTGACATCCTCGGCTTTCTTTCCTGGTGTCAGGAGGAATCAGGGGGACTTTTCGCTTGGCACCTGCCTACCTGCTCAGGGACAGAGTTGCTGTACTTTTTGGACATTCTCTTCCTCATTGTCTCTTTCACAGATTTGACCTTTTTTCCAAGAGAGATGCGGGAGGCCGTAGGTGATTTGATGACTTCCTTGTACACAAAATCTCCTTCTTTACCCTGCAAAACAGAGTAAGGACCATTAATCACAGGGAATGTGGCCCCCAAACAGGCTTTATTGTGGAAACCATTAATGTTGTATGTCTCAGAAACATCCTGGCATCCCCTAGGATTCTGAAATGTTTCCTGTTAACTGAGTGCGAGGCTATTAATCATTGTTTAACTTTTTTTGCTTGTTTTTTCAACTTATTTTATTTTTCAATTACAGTTGACATTCAATATTGTTTTTTTATTAGTTTCAGATGTATGCTATTTATCTTTCTTTTCAAAAATTAAAAGCGATTCACCAAGGGTTCTTGTTTGTTTAAAGTGGGATGTGAAATACGTTTTATTTTATTTAATCTTAGGACATTCCCTCTCCCAGTATACTTCTCCCTGCATTTCACCAATAGAGTGACAGAGATGAACCAGCGTTTGCAAAACCCGAGCAGTGGGGGAGAATAGAAAGACAATGTTACTGAGCACCTAGGACTGTGGTGAGTATAAAATGGGACATCTCAGTCATCACAGGAAAACACCAGACCGGGTTTGTGTCAGGGTGGCCCTCAGAGTGGTTGGCTCCTGAGTTCATGAATTTCCTTTCCTCAAACAGTTAGACTGTGGATACTGCTTGTCTTACTTCTCACTGAAAACAGAAAACAACTTTCCCTGGAAGGTCAGAGAAAACACACTTTCTCTCGTTTTCTAAAAGACTACGCAACATTCTTAGTTTACAAATCCATAAAATTTGATGTCCAAATAAAATAGTTTTATTCTTCCAGGAAATTCTCAAATGCTTCAAAAATCAGAGGTGTGTGTTTTTAGCGGACATTGGACAAGAGAAAGCAATTTCCTGACAAAATGCATGAGGGGAGAACAAAACTGCATGCAGAGCTCACCTGTGCCCCGGGGGCCTTCCCAAGGAAACACGGGGAGAACATGCACAGCACAGGGGTGACCTGGCCCCACACTGGGATCCAGAAGCAGCGGGCCGGAAGCTCAGCCCACAGAAGACTGGTTTGCTTTGGCCCCAAGGAGACAGGGTTCAGCCCAGGACACCCCGGATCAGAAAGCTGAGGCTTAATATGGGGCTGTGCAGTTGGCCTATGATAAAACTGGTTTTCAGAAATGCTGGCAAATGCTCTTGAATGCAAATCACAGGCTCCACCCTTCGGCCTTGATTGTGTGTAGCAGCCATGCTCACTTAAAACCAGTGTGAGCAGACACTAACGTGAGACCCAGAGGCCAGATGCATCTGGATGTGTGACTTGGAGGACACTGGGAACACAGGCACGGAAGGAATGGGGCTACTCTAGGGAGTGATGGGGGCCGAGGTGGTCATGGTCGGTTCCCGTGGAAAAGAGAAGTGTCTCTAAGGGAAGGGGAGTAAGGGGGGAGGGGAAGGGTGTGTGTGTGTGTGTGTGTGTGTGTGTGTGTGTGTGTGTAGGTGAAGGGATTAAACAAAGAAGAAAACCTCACAGATATAGAAAACAGCATGGTGATGACCAGAGGGAGAGGGGGTGGGAGAGATAGACGAGGGTAAAGGGGGGATAATTGGTGATGGAAGGAGACTTGATCTGAGGAGGTGAACACATACTACAATAGATAGATGATGTATTAGAGAATTGTACACCTAACACCTATATAATTTTATTAAGCAATGACACCCCAATAAATTCAATTAAAAATTTTTTTTAGAAACCTGACTGAAATAGGGCTTCTTTTTAAACACTGATGAAAAGATTACTCAGGCCGAGACCGGTTTGGCTCAATGGATAGAGCGTCGGCTTGGGGACTGAAAGGTCCCGGGTTTGATTCCAGTCAAGGGCATGTACCTTGGTTGCGGGCATATCCCCAGTAGGAGGTGTGCAAGAGGCAGCTGGTCGATGACTCTCTCTCTCATCGATGTTTCTAACTCTCTATCTCTCTCCCTACCTCTCTGTACAAAATCAATAAAATATATTTAAAAAAAAAAAAAAAAAAAGAAAGAAAGAAAAGATTACTCAGACATCAATTCTCAGAGACTAGACTTGAAACTATGTCAACCACGTGGCTTGGATCTGAGCCTTTTACTTTCCAGCTGATGCGTACTCACCATCGGGTAAGCATTATTGCTGCCAACATGCAGAGAACGATTCGTTAAGTCAAATCCTCCAAAGCTGCAGGTTCTCTGCGGAAAGGGGAGGGCAGGACAGTTAGGCTGATGCCAGCCAGCAGTGCACCGACCCAACGCATTTCCCACTTGCAGGACGTCACTGAATCACAAATACGTTACAGGATGGAAGTAGGACGAGAAATGGTAAGGAAAAAAAAAAATACATGACTCATGTTACTAGGAAACTTGCCACTTGAACTGTTGCCTACACCAGAGATCCAGAATCCCCTAAACATGCAACCCCCCACCCCCAGTTAAAAAACTCCTAACCAAAGTCACCCGTGTTTCCCTGTCTCTTTGCAACAGGCTTCCCCTCCCAGCCCCCTTAAGATCAGCTGCACACAGTAGTGACACTGAGGGCATCCATGTGCTCAGATGGTCTTGGAAACTCAGGTCCAACGCCCTATGGCTCTGCCACTGACAGCAGGCTTTCTTAAGAGACTCTTTTGTTTAGTTTTAAATCGGTAAGAAGGGGGAAACTAGGTTATGTTTACAGCAGTCCAATCAGGCCAACAGGGTTACTCATTCATTGCTTTCCTGACCTAGCCAAAGAGGCTGGTAACTTTCCCATCTAACTGACCAACTTCATCAATTATGACTCCTTTTTTCTGAGTGTATCAAGATGCCACATTTGCCCAGGAAGAAAGAAGTTGATTCAGTGACTGTCTTTGACCACACTCTAATTTAACAGGGAAAACACCAATGTTATGAAGAATAAAAACCTTAATGTTCTTGCACTTGGTTTCAAACTTTACGGAACTGCACGTATTTCCATGATTTTTATAGGTATTTCCAAAAGGACCATCTCCACAGCTGCACCCCCTCACCCCGCAACCCCTGCCTTCCCAGGGGGAAAAAAAAAAGTCTGTAAGAGAAAAGAGAAACTTAAAGCTCACTAATTCTTCTTACAACTGATTCCCTTTTTTTAAGCAACTGGTAATAAAAGTTAAATAGCAGATTTGGGCTCCATAATTTGTACAATCTATTTCTCAGTGAACTCTAGTTAATAGATGCTAAACAGAAGAAATTAATGTACAGCACAATAGATACTATAGACCCTGCTTATTTAAAATATATGTACTGCCCTAGCCAGTTTGGCTCAGTGGATAGAGCATCAGCCTGCGGACTGAAAGGTCCCGGGTATGAATCCACTCAAGGGCACATGCCCAGGTTGCAGGCTGGATCTCCAGTAGGAGGCATAAAGGAGGCAGCCGATCAATGATTCTCATCATCGATGTTTCTATATATCTCTCCCCTCTCCCTTCCTCTGAAATCAATAAAAATATGTCTAAAAAACAAACACATAAAATAAATATACTTTGGATATATATTAATTAAGTGAATTGATAAAGAAACATCCAGAAGGAAAATGCTTAGGTTTTTTAAAATACGGATGTGGGTCCAAATTCTGGTTCTGCCATTTATTTGCTGTGTGACCATAGGTAATATACTTCAACTCTCTGAGCTCTAGTTTCTTCATCTGCGAAATACCACCTGTAGCATAAATTTGAAGACTTCTAGCACACTATCTGACACAAAGCAGGGAGGGGTCTCTGAGAATATTGGTTTCTGGCATTACTTCTCATTAGGACTACATTGAGAACTGTAGCTTGTCCCAACAATTGTAATACTGATGAAGCTTAGGCTCAGGCAACATTCTAAACATGCAAATGAAGGACTAGAGCTTAGTTCTGTGCCATGCATTCTGGGAGCTTCAACTATAAAACCAGAGCATCCCAGGAATGGGTCAAAGAGAGACAGCAGGTGTGGAGGAGGGAGACCAGGAGGTGCAGGTGTCATGGGAGGTCTTTCGGGATCCCCAACATTTGGGACGGCACAACCACCCTCCTTCACCACAGCCATGTTGCTGTTTTAAAGGATCTACCACAGGCATGACATGCAGTGAACATATTTTTATTTTATATTAAATATCGATGGACAAGCTGATTTCCCTTATAACCAACTTAACTAGACCTCTATCTATTTTTTTAAAAAAACAAAAAAAAACAGAAACCTTTTTACACAAAAAACGCCAAATCCCCTCATCTGGAGAGTGGTGATAGGAACACTTCTCCAGGCTAATTTTCAACATTAATTTCCCTCTCCAGCTCATAATGCCCAATAGACTGCTTCCTTCTTGTAAAGACAATCATTTTATTGTGGCTCGCTTCCTGTGAGGCAGGGCTCACAGACACAGCATGGTACCCAGATGCCTGCTCGGGTTATGGCTCGGCACTTCCCTGCTTTGCATTCCAGCTTCAACTGCCAGGCTGGAGCCCAGCACGCTATTTCTGATGCATGGGAACTAACTGACAGAGCACTTATGTGGAAATATAGCTGTAATGAATCAGAAGCTCGTTTATATCCTCGGATGCCTGCTGTATGTATTTATCCCTAAAATGAAAAGCTCCAAGCGTGAACTGCCTTCGTGAAGCACCAACTAAAACCTCTCCCTGAGATATGCTAAGATATCTGGGAACCATTCCTCCCTATCATTGCAGAGGAACAAAAACAGGAACAAGGAACGCTGCTTGAGCTCATCTCTCCCCTTTCAGTGATATCAAGCAGATCTTAAAGCATCACCACCCTCTCAACAGAGAAAAGAGCTTTCAGAGAGAACAGTGAGATCTTCGGCTTTGGCGGTCTCCACGGATGAAGCCTAAATGAGGTTTGTCAAGGGCATCACGTCTCATGTCCAGGTAACTGTAAGGCTTTATAGATGCTTGTGGGTGAGGAGAGCCGGGCGATGGAATGGTCATGCAGTTGAGAATATGTTTTTTGGGGGGAGTTAGGGTTGAATTTTTAAAATGGACAAAGTTCCAAAATGTCATGCATGTCTGTTTCACCAAACAAAAACTGAATGATCAAATAAAAAGCAAGACAAGTGACCATTTTCAGTGAATACACAGCATTATCATTTCCCTGAGGTTTCATCAAGCAAATATGGCTCTTTTTTTTGAAAGATAAAAAAGATCAAGGATGAAGATTAAAGGACACGGCACTATTGGATAAAATGAAAGAGATATATGTAAAAAAGAATAGAAAGAGCTCTTTAAGTAAAGCAAGCAAAGAAATTATGTCATTAAAAAGAGAAGGAAAAAAAAACTCTCTGTTTAATGTTTAACATTATTTACCCTTATAGTCTGAATAGTTAGAAAATTTTGTTTATCTGATTGTACAACTATACTTACAATAAAAGGTATTTGCAAACTTCTAATTTAGCATCAAACATATATTTCCACAAGTATTAATACTGCCCAGTACTGCCTCAAGTTAATAGTTCCTTAAAAAACCCAGCCTCAAGCTGACACTTGGAACAGAGATTACATAATGCCACCTTTACAGGGGGAAAAAACTGCTCTCGTATCAATGAAGACTCAATCACTGTCCCACTGTGTTATTTAGCACCAATCTTAGAAACATAACTTCTGGACAGAAAAACTTGATAAAGTTTGATCATTAACCTGGTAATAAATAATATGAAGGGCAGTGAACAGATCCAAGTGCTCCATGTGAGAAATTTCTCATTATTACATGATTTAAACTCACGAAGCTGAATCACCCACTAAGAGAGCAGAGGTGACTCTGACCATCCAGCTCCTGTCCAATGGCAGAGAGGCCCATAAACTGGGCAGAGCACTCCCACAGGTAAAAAGTAAACTATCCCAAGATGGTTAGCCACAAAAGACGTGTGGGTAAGAACTGAGTGAGTGAGAAAAGGAACTGTGTTGTGAGTGAGAAAAGGAACTGTGTTGCCAGGACCGGTTTGGCTCAGTGAATAGAGCGTCGGCCTGCGGACTGAAAGGTCCCGGGTTTGATTCCGGTTGAGGGCATGTACCTTGTTGCGGGCACATCCCCAGTAGGGGGTGTGCAAGAGGCAGCTAATCGATGATTCTCTCCCATCAATGTTTCTAATTCTCTATTCCTCTCTCTTCCTCTCTGTGAAAAATCAATAAAAAATATATTTAAAAAAAAAAGAAAAGGAATTGTGTTATTTTACAACAGAACAGGACCACTGATCATTGTTGCCATGATGTGGAAAGAACGAGAAGAAACATTGCCACTCATAGTATTCAAAGGTTTGCAAGACTGTTAGGAAAGTGAGAAGATGGAAAATGAGACCTTGCCAGAAGGTCAGCATGTGCAGGGATATTTGGGAAACAGAAGGGGTAAGGATGGAAGGACCTTTTTAGGAGAAGGTCATCGGAAGGGGATGGATGGCACTAGCCAACCAGCCTCCATGTCCACAAAAGGAGAAGTTGATTGAAGGAATTTAAGTCACCGTAACCACCTATGGAAGAACACCTCACTCCTGAATGGGAACAAACCCTGGAGAAAGCCCTCACAAGAGGCTGCCATGTAGTCCATTCCTTCGGACCTTTAAAGGGGGACAGGGCCGAGGGAAGGAAGCAGGGCACAGGCGACAGCAGGGCCAGGAAACCACTCCTCCTCCATCTGGGCACTGTATACGGGCTACCGTGCAAACTGGAAGTTGGGTGGGAATTTCAGGGGGGCAAGTATCTATAGTCTCCAGCTCAGAATAAGCCATGCCCTGAAGATAAACTTCACCAAAGTGCAATAACTCAGTAATAAAACTGAAAAATGCCTTATCATGTGAAAAGGAGCACTTCATTCCTTGCTATGTATAGAAGAACGGAGCAGTGGAGGACATTTCAAAATAGTCGCTCCTTTGATTAGAAAGCGAAGGACGCCAATTGGACTTAACTAAGAAAGAGCTCTAATTCTCTTCCCTCTAGATGTAAGAATTTTTCCATTTGCTTCTACTGATAAAAGAAATAAACTTGACAAGCGCTTCCAAATCACCAATTTGGTGACTTGGGATGATGGCGATCTTTCCATGAGCTTAGCTCCCATTGTTTTAATTAGCTGAAACAATAAGCCTCTCTTTTAAGGGCAAAACACCCTCTGTTTTGAATCAGCCTCTTTGAGGTCAAGTGACGTGATGGCTGGGAACGAAGACAGCCACCCTCGATGGAGGCCAAGCCCCACCCCGGGGACGCTGGGAGCCCTCCTCTGGGTCAGGAAAGAGGACCCACGGGAAGGGAAGGAGAGGGCTGGACATCGGAGAAGAGGATGATGGCACGGGCCCTGCCGTTAGGAAGCTCTGAGCAGAAGAGTGGGGAGGACGCCAAGCTCTGCGGAAGCTAAAAGCCATAATGCTTGACTACACCTCACGGGAAAGGACAAGGCCGTCCTGGGGGGACACCTCCGGGAGGACTCACGGACTTCTGGTGGATTCTCAAGAGAACCCTCTTAGCACAGCGGTCCACCGTGGCGGCCCACTTCCTCCTGGCCTCGTCCTCCTCCTGCAGCAGCAGGCAGCGCCGCAGGTCCCGCTGCTCGGCCTTGCCCAGCGTCCTGTCTGAGGCCGGCCGCACCAGCTGGCTCAGGTTCAGGTTCAGGTGGCTGTACAGGCTCCGCTCCACCACGTAGGTGATATTGACCTCGCTGACCGCGGCGGGGCGCCCGCGCCCCCTCCTGCCGGGGCCGCCGCAGCCCCCTCCTCCCCCTTTGGGTCTCTGCCGCAGCAGCTGCAGGTCCCAGGGCGCGCCGGGGGCTCCTCTGCGGGAGGGGGGGCGCTGGCAGAGGAAAGCCCGGGAGCAGGCGTAGTTGGCGTCCGTCTTCTTCAGGCGGAGCTGCTTGCGGACGCTCTGCACCTCCTCCAGGGACACCAGGAGGTGGTGCCTGCGGCGGTGGCGGCCGTCACAGAGGCACACGCCGCTGCCGTCGGTACTTACCCCGTGGCTCAGGGACCCCAGGCTCTTCTTCATCTCGCCCTCGGTCAGGGAGCGGGACACCTTCTGGGCCTTGTCCTCGTCCGGGTACGAGAAGAACGTGCCCATCTTCTTGGGGGGCTTGATGAGGCCCCGGCTGTCTCCCTTGCTGAAGGTTTTGACCAGCTTCCGGCCGGCGGCCCAGGCCTCCAGGTTGCCGGGCGATGGAGAGGTGGCGAAAGGGTCCGCGTCATCTTCCGGAGGCTTCTCGGGGGAGCCGTCGAACAGGAACGGCTTCTTGTGCACGCCCGAGTACAGGGCGGCCCTCTCGTCCAGGGCCAGGGGGCTCTCAAACACGGGCTCCTCCCCGCCTGCAGAGGGGGCAACAGACACGGTCAGGGCCTCCACCTGCGCCTTTGCATTCGCCCCCTGACCTTGCCTCACGCACCCCCACCCAGGCAAGGGAAGTGGTCCATGCAGAAACCACAGGGATGGCCCTCCCTGGGTCACTCACCCCTTCATCAACCGGCTCCCCCTTAAGAAAGGCCCGTGAAAAAGGAAAATCAAACTGTGCCAACAGAGGGCTTCACACAAGCTTGGTGTTAAAAGATTTCAGGTGTGTTTTTCTCTCCTTCTTTAAACATCTTTGGAGACCAAACCCCTTACCAGACCTATTAAAAGTGCCTTTGGGCCAACACCGGTTTGGCTCAGTGGATAGAGTGCCAGCCTGTGGACAGAAAGGTTCCAGGTTCGATTCGGTCAGGGGCATGTACATTGGTTGCGGGCACATCCCCAGTAGGGGGTGTGCAAGAGGCAGCTGATCGATGTCTCTCTCTCATCGATGTTTCTAACTCTCTATCCCTCTCTCTTCCTCTCTATAAAAAAAAAAAATCAATAGATTTTTTTTTAAGTGCCTTTGGGAAATCTAAACCAGTCATTACCATGTTAACCCCCAGCACTCGCAGTAAGTAGCCTCCCCCAGCTGGTTACGTGCAACCATCCCCAGAAGCAGGAACCAGACCCCTCGCTTCTGAAAAGCCGTCCTGGTGAGTCTGGCTGCCTTCTCATGCTCAGGTGGTGGTGAATGCCATGTGGCAGGCGGCGATGTTTTACTGGCACGTGTGCCATCTCAGTGATGAACTCACCAAGGGAGTCCAGGTGTGGAAACACCACCACATAGGGGTGTGCCCAAGAAGTTAGGGAACTGAGTGACCCCAGCCAGGCTGTCCCATCCACTCAGCCCTGCTAGAGGCAGCGGCGGCCCTGAGGGGCGGGGGCCTGCGAGCAGCCCCACCCGCATCTCCCAGCATCTCAAGGACACGGTGGCTCCCTGGAGCCTTTGCCGGAGCCAGGTACCACGCCAAGCCCTTCGGAGCCAGAGGAGAGGTCTGGCTGGACTCGCTGGCAGGAAAACCGATGTGAACAGATGTGAAAAAAGAAGTAGGTCAAACTGTGGGTGTAGTGACCCTCACGGGCTGAGTCCCTTTAATTATAAGGAAACTTTTGAGCAGGACAGCTTTCCACCAGCTGAACTGTGAAGAGGAAAAAAACACAAAGTTTCCTGGAACAGAGGGATGGCACTAAATATACCAGCTGGAAGGAGGGTGCCAGTGTGTGGTTAAGTGTTGGAGATAAAGGGAAAGGACTGCTCACTTCGGGGGGGGGGGGTGAGGAAGGGGCATGGAAATGGGATTGGTGGCGGTCCTTTAAAATTCCAAAAGTTTCTTATTCTTCCAATGGATTGGAAGTACAGTGCCAAATATAAAGAAACAAGTACCACTGCGATTAAGCACAAGCCTGGACTGACTCTGAAGTCAAGGAGGAGGTGGTGGAAAGGGGGATTCAAAACTATGCCCAAGCAAAACTGGTTTGGCTCAGTGGGCAGAGCGTCGGCCTGCGGACTGAAGGGTCCCAGGTTCGATTCTGGTCAAGGGCATGTACCTTGGTTGCGGGCACATCCCCTGTAGGGGGTGTGCAAGAGGCAGCTGGTCGATGATTCTCTCTCATCAATGTTTCTAACTCTCTATCCCTCTTTCTCTCTTCCTCTTTGTAAAAAAATCAAAATATATTTAAAACAAACAAAAACAACAACAACAACAACTATGCCCAGTCAAAAATTCTCCATCATCCGCAGGCCAAACCCACTCAAGAGTTATTCCCAGACCTTCCCGGAGAGTTCAACATTAGGGTCCAGGGTTCTGACGGGAATGTGCCAGACCAGAAGCAGTGTGGGAATATTGTGTGTTTCCTGCTACATCCTCAGGACATCTGACTGATCAGGTAAGGAGACCAAGGGTCCCCAAGTTGCTGCAAGTAAAATGGCAACCTCTTCTACGTAGTCTGCTCTCCCACCAACAGACTTCCCCCCAAAAGCAATCCAGTCACAGACCATGGCCTTTCCTGCAGACCAGGTGTCCACGGAGGCATGCAAAGGCCCTTATCTACCCATAGTCCTTAGGGGCTTTGGGAAATCAGGTGGGTTGATTAAATAGTTTAAGGACCAGGCACTCAGTCGTGGGTGAACATTTTCTGGGCTCTGTCCTTAGGGCTGTCATCAGAGATCCCAATACTTCCGTGTCACCCTGGAGTTAGAACCAGCTGGGGCACGCACACCCACAACATTCGTAGCTGTACTCCCGATTCGGGAAGTCAGCATCTGGTGGAGGGTTTGGAGACAGTGTGGCAAAGGTTTGCACAGTGGCCTTATCAGCCCTGTGCTGAGGCAGGCCTCGCGTGGCACGGGCTCTTCTGTCTGCCATGCCCAGACCCTGAAATCCCAGCCTGCACCGGTTCCTTGGGTTCAGAACATCACTTTCCCATTCTCGTCTAGCTTGAAAGTACAACCATCCTACTAAGAGAATGGCAATCAACAAAGTGCTCCCTCCATCATCACTTAGTAAGAGATGCTTCACACACTTGCCTTTATCTATTTTATTCAGCGGAGACCAGAACACAGAGGGAAAGGTGCCTTTGACAGAATAGGATGACTTAATGCTCAGAGAGAGCACCGATTGATGCCCTGGATTCCGGCCCTGGCTCTGAAACTCAGCATCTCCCAACCTTGGGCAATTACTTCCGTCTCGGAGTCTGTTCCTCACTGGTGATCCTGCCTACCTAGCTTTGCAATACCTACTGCACGGGGACTGAGAGGATAAAATTAAATAAAAGGGGGTATGTGACGGTACTCTACATGCTGAGAAGCACTGTACAAGGGCGAATGATTCATTATGAGGATACAGATGAGCTGGAACAATGAGGGAAGGCGATGGGAGGGCATCACTCAAGGAGAAAGACACAGAAATGGGCAAAGGGCACCGACCTGGCTTACAGGTTAACACTGTCTCGCGTCATGGTGCCCCAGATAAGGACTTGAAACTCGAGTTACAAAGGTGAGTCTGGGTGAAGGACTGTGACTCTGCAGGCTTTCCCAAGCCTCCAAGGCAGGGGGGTGGGGCAGCGTAGCAGCAGAGTGGAGACCCAGGATGGAGAGCCAGGCTGCCCAGACTTCATTCTGTGTCTTGTGCTGGCTGGCTCAGTGGGTTGACTCTGAGTAAATTGCTTCACCTCTTGGTGTCTTAGTGTCCTCCCTTGTGCAATGAGTATGGTATTAGTCCTGCCTCTGGGGGCTAGTCTGAGGATGATATAGCAAAAGGAACATAGCATCTGTGGTTTTTAGGGAAGTGCCTGGCATGCAGAATGGTCTCGGTAACTAGTCAGGCAACTTAGCATTGGCACAGACACGCAAGAAGTCAAAAGGATCCCATTTTGAAGGTCTGGGGCAGAGGGCAGGGGTTCCTGGGAGTGTGGATCTTAACTGGCAGAAGTAGGGGCAGAGTAGAAAGAACCCCTCCTTTTGCCAATGAGGAACCTCAGAGAGTTCTATCACGCAGGGGCCGGAATGAGTGCTTGCCTGGCAGGGTGTCGGCGACAGCCTGATGCAGATGCCCCGAGCTGCACACACACACACCTGGGACCTCTCCTGGTGATACCAGCAGGCCCAGTGAGTGGTATCCCCGCTCCCCAACTCACTTGGGACTCTGCTCACTGAATCCATCTTCCATCTGAGATACCTACTCACACGCAGATGAATTAAAAAGTTCAGAGTAAGCCGAAACCGGTTTGGCTCAGTGGATAGAGCGTCAGCCTGCGGACTGAAAGGTCCCAGGTTTGATTTCGGTCAAGGACATGTACCTTGGTTGCGGGCACATCCCCAGTAGGAGGTGTGCAAGAGGCAGCTGACTGATTATTCTCTCTCATCAGTGTTGCTAATTCTCCATCCCTCTCTCTTCCTTTCTGTAAAAAATCAATAAAATATATACTTTAAAAAAAGTTTAGAGTAAGAAGTCACTTAGGTCATTACTGAGCTATCTCTTTTGGTAGGTTTTTGTTTTCTTTTTCTTTCTATTTTTTTAAACTATGTCTCTCAGAGTTAATTGGATTATTCATTCTGAGATAATTATGGGAGTTAGTGTATTTCTGTATTTTCACCAATGTTATTCTAGTGGAAAAGGCTGCCTCAATACACAGGACTGTCATGTCTGAAGGGGCCAACACTCACCACTCCATCATTTTAGCTCATGTATGGTCAAGAGCCACCAATTTAGTTGGGATATTTGGATTTAATTTTGTAAGGTGTGCATGAGTTTTTAAATGCCATAACCAGCCCCCCACTCCCACCCCCCACTCCGCCTCCAGGTTCAATGATGGCAACTCCATGGGGTTCTAGTTAATATCACTAACGGACACTGTGTGTGTGTGTGTGTGTGTGTGAGTGTGTGTGTGATATTTCAGGAAAAGCTGCCACAATAAGGGGAAACCGGGACTGGCAGACAGGTATTAAAACATCCAAATGCCACAGGAGCATTGCATCCGGAAGGAAACGGAATTACCATGCAAAGAAGCCACCCAAAAGAAACCCAGAAATTAGCTACAACTCTTAAGTTTATGAAATTGGCCATAAAGCAGACCTCTCTCCCTCTCCCCTCCTTTCTTTCCCCTTTGAACTCCACTCTCCCACAGTAACCCCTCTACCTTCAAAATTCCTCTAGGGGACTTAAACTAATAAATAATTACAGCAAATTAAAATAAAAATAGCAACAATAACAACAGGAAACCATCATTTACGTAAATAAGGGCAATTCCCATTCCCTCCACAGCTCGGCTTCATCATGTACGAAAAAAGAGAGACTTCTACAAGGACACTTTTTAAATCTACATGTTTAAAAAAAAAGCTGAAATTCCTCACGATGTAGGTGTGACATTTCAGCAACACAGACATTCTTCCCAGGGTTTGTTTCAATTCACTTATCATTTTCCAAATAGGAAATCTTATCCTTTTCTCTTTGGGGGGGGGGGAATTTTATAAAATGCTGCAAATGCACATTACTAACAACAAACGTGAGACAGATCGGTTGTGATTTAAGCTGTCTTAATTACACTTCAAAGGTTAACTACTCCTTTCAATAAATCCAAGCTCCTACCCGCCTTTGACATTATTGCTTCATCGGACAAGTGGCTTAGGCAGCGGAGCAGCTCTCAATGATCCACTTAGCGCAGAAGATCCTTAAAGCCTCATTTGAACCGAGGCTTGAGACAGTTTACAGGAAGAACGCATCATCCCTCAGAGACGCAAGGGATATGAAGAGCTTTAATTGCCAGATGTTTGTTTGAGATGGATGCAAATCAAGTTTTGACTAACTCCACTGGGCCAGAGCCACTGTCCTTTCAGGGGCAGAGGCTTATCTGAAGAGGAAGTTATAAAACCAAGTTTATATAAAATAGTATAAGCTCAAAATGAAAGCTATGCCACACCTCGAGATGTCACTGTCACAGACTAGCCCATTCCCATCTTTGTACTAGCATTTCAAATACTAAGACCCCACCCCCACCCCCCAAATTCTGGACACCAGATCCTTCATCCCACAACCTGCTGAGCATTGCCCTGCTAACATACAGCCCCAGTTCTCTCTCTGCCAGAACTCAACCCATTTTTCTACTTGAAATCCTCTTTTTTCTCTGTGGAAAAATGAAGTCCGCATGACTAACTCTGGAATAAGCAGGGTGGCATTTGCTTTTTTTTTTTTTTTTTACCTTCAGTGCTGGGCTTTTTCATTTCATCCACCCTGATGAGTTTCTTTCTCACTCTGCGGGTGGAGTTCACCAGCTTGTGTAACCTCTTAAACTTCACCGACTCCTCGGTCTCATCATCCGATGGTTCTCTTGACTGGCAAAGAAACAAAAGAAAAGTTAATCAGATCATTGCCGGGAGCTTTGCTTCTGCAGCTGGGGCAGCCCGGCCTCACCGCTGGCATGCACTCTGGCAATGGCTGCAGCGGAACCTGGGGCACCACCAAATCTGCCTGACAGGTTCCTAAGCTCCACCTACCATCTTAAGGTCTCAGGAGTGGAGAAGCAGGTCCTAGGCAGCAGGACACACACCCTTGCCCTTGACAGGCATGTGGTGCATTTTGTCTCAACTACTTCCCGGTCCCCCAGTCAGGAGAACTCTGCAGGCCTCTCTCTCCAAGGCTGGCCCTGTAATTCCAGTTTCACTGCTGCGGTTTGGGCCAGGCTCTCATCTGTCTGGCCCATCAGGACTTGCTGTTGAAACGTGGTCACCAGCTACTTCCTCAAACCAAAATTCTGTTGACTTGTTCCAGTCCTTCTCCCGAAAATCAAAACCAGCAGGGCAGGAAAAAGGGAAGAGATGCAAAAAGCTGCCTTCGGGATCACCCGTGAGGACCTCCTGCCACCTCTCAGCCATCCCTCCGGCCTCTTCCAGCTCCTTCCAAGAGCTCAGCAGGCCCGGGCGAGGACAGCCCCTGCATTCCTCCGGCGAGGGACAAGGGAAAAAGCTGACCTTTTCAGCCATACGCTGCAGTCCATATTCCCCAGCATCCCATTCCGTTTTTGCAGCGACTCCAGTATGCTCAGCCCAGCTGTTTTCCCTCAAGTCTCCAGCATTACAGAGAGCGAAAAAAATCTCCCTCCGCAGCAGTGACCCAGGCAAAAAACAATCCTTTCCTTGTGATCAAAATGAGGGTTTCGCTTCCAAGTCAGTTCCAACATTCAATACGCAGCTTCCTCTGCTTTATCTGTTCAAAATGTAAAAGACGCAAAGACGTCTCCAACGAAATGGGCTGCCGCTGGGCCGGCCGGCATCCCAGGAGCACAGAGCCCGGAGGCGCAGGCGCGGCACACCCTGGGCAGCTGGTGCGACTCCAGCTCCTACTGCACATCCTGGCAACAGCTCTCTCCCCATTTCCTCAAACCCACTTCCCTGAGGGAGCAGGGAGAGGAGTGCCTCCACTGCAAACCCGCACACAACAAGCCACATCTCTGAGTCTCTTCCGTACGGAGACTTCCCCCCAAGAAATGCACTTATTTTATTTTATTTTTTAATATATTTTATTGATTTTTTTTTACAGAGAGTAAGAGAGAGAGTTAGAACATCGATGAGAGAGAGAGACATCGGTCAGCTGCCTCTTGCACACCCCCTACTGGGGATGTGCCTGCAACCAAGGTACATGCCCTTGACCGGAATCGAACCCGGGACCCTTCAGTCCACAGGCCAACGCTCTATCCACTTGAGCCAAACAGGTTTCGGCAAGAAATGCACGTGACTTTATGGCTGATAAAATAGATAACCCAGAGTAAGCGCAATACAACTCAAGAGGAAAACGGGGGTAGAGATGATATGAATTTCTTAGGTATGAAAATGGTGCCTGTCATGAGTCTGCACATATTTCTACAGCACAGCAGCTCTTTGGAGGGATAACTACAACCCAGCTCCTGGCCTCTTTCTGGGGGCTCCCAGCCTGTACTCTCTCCCTGCAGGACTGTAAGCAAATCACACACCACTAAAGAATAATAACTACAACCCATAAGTACAAGTCATCGGACAGGGATATTTTTCCGGCTTCCCTTCTATGAAGAGTATCAATATCCATAGTCCATTCCTCTAAAATTCCCAGAGAAAGTGTTGCACACACATCTCAAAATTAAGGTTAACTACTGGTTACTGGTGATCAAGGATAGAAATTAGCCCTAACCAGTTTGGCTCAGAGAATAGAGCGTGGGACTGCAGACTGAAGGGTCCCAGGTTCGATTCTGATCAGGGGTATGTCCTTGGATGCAGGCTCCTCCGAAGTCAAGTCCTGGCTGTGTAGGAGGCAACCAATGGATGTGCTTCTCTCACATATATATTTCTCTCTGTCTTTCCCTTTCTCTTTTCTACTCTCTCTAAAAATCAATGAAAAAAAATATCCTCAGGTGAGGATTAACAATAAATAAATAAATAAATAAATAAGCAAGCAAACAAACAAACACTAAAAAAAAAAAAAAGGATAGAAATTGTATTGGGAGGGGGTGGGGGAAGAGGCTATATTGCATGCTGGTAATTAGGCTTACTGCATTTGGCCTAAAACTCAAAATGTAAGACAATTACAAGGAAATAAATATAGCTCCTACTCTATAATGATATTGTCTGGTTTGAATTTCATTTTTACTTGACTGAATTGTTATGTACAATGAAACGGTTGCAGTGGTCAACCAGAGGAATGAGAACTTGGTCAACCCTCTTTCTGGGTAATTGGCACCTGAACAAAACCACAATGCGTGGAATTACGCATAAACATATAAAAACATTCTGCCTTCTTGATGTATCTCAAAAGCCAGGCAAGTTTAATGGAAGAATAATCAACACCAGGTCATAGAAAGTCTCTATTCATAACAATGGACAAACCTAAAATAGGTATGTAGGTCTATAACCTTCAAATTAAAAAAGTATGAAAATGAAATGAGCATCTTGTTTATAATGAAGCTATAGGAAGCTACATTAGAGGATAAATATCACTGATGTATTATATATCCCTCACACCTAGCTTGGGGTTGCTGATGAGTGGTGGTAATGGGGTGTGTGTGTGTGTGTGTGTGTGTGTGTGTGTGTGTGTAGGAAACAGGGGAACTAAAAAGAGAAATGGAATACAGAAAGAACACAAAAACCTTCAGTCCACAAAGACACAAATCTTAAAGAGGAAACAAGCGATCAAAGGGAAATTTTCTGGGAGAAATAAAAAATTTTTAAAAAAGTGAAACCAGGACAACAGATTTCAAGGCAAAGACACTCCCCCGCCTTCTCCAGTCCTAATTTCCTCTGCCCAGATTCACTGTGGTGAAAAATAACATATTCCAGGTACTTATTTAATTGCTTTCACATGGCCCATCTACTTTTAAGAAACAGAAGCTCTTCAGAACTTTGAACTAATGGTTACTTTTCTTTTAAAAAAATGAATGTTTTGGAAGTGTTTGCCTCTGACAAAACACAAATCACAGCAACCAATAACTTTCTTTTTTCTTTTAAAATACATTTTTTATTGATTTCAGAGACAAAGGGAAAGGGAGAGAGATAGAAACATCAATGTTGAGAGAGAATCAGTGATTGGCTGCCTCCTGCACACTCCCACTGAGGATCGAATCTGCAACCTGGGCATGTTCTTTTGACTGGAATCGAACCCCAGGCCCTTCTGTTCACAAGCTGATGCTCTATCCACCGAGCCAAACCGGTCAGGGTACCAATAAGTTTCTTTGCATTGCCATGTTTTTAATACTAGACAAGATAGATGCAACACAATTTGTATCAAGAAAATGTGAAATAAAACCATATATATAGTAAAACATATATATGTATATATATACATATGTATGTATGTATATATATATATATATATTTCTTTTTTTAAATAGAAAAATCTCTTAAGTAGCCTAGAAGTTACTGGAGTTGAACAAGGTATCTGAACAAGGTTTTTTATTGAGGTGTTGACTTCTCACTTCCTCCAGAGTCCAGAGGAAAAACAATTGTGAAATATTTGCCTTTAAAAACTTCTCTCCAGCTGTTTTAACATAAAGACTGTAAAAGGCATGCATTTCTTTTAAACTTAAATTCCTCATTTCATGTCTCTCCTTTTAAATAAGTAATGTGTCACTTCCCAAATGCTGGAAGTAACATATTGTGTCTTTTTATTCAGAAAATATACCCAGATATGGGGGGGGGGGGGGGGAGAGAATTTACAATTTTTTTTAAATATTTTTTTTAAATTAATTCCAGAGAGGTATAGAGAGGAAGAGAGAGAAATAGACATCAATGAGGAGAATCATTGATGGGCTGCCCCCTGCATGCCCTCCACTGGGGATCGAGCCTGGCAACTGGGGCATGTGCCCCTGACTGGAACTGAACCTGGGATTCTTCAGTCTGCAGGTTGATGCTCTATCCACTGACCCAAATTGGTTAGGGCTACATTTTTTTTTTTTTTAATTAAGAAATCTTCCCACCGGGAGGAACTTGGTAGAAGATGAAGGAAATCTGCACTGTATATGAATGATTGATTCCAAAATAAATTCAGAACTATTTTAAGACAAGTTTTAAATAACTAAAAAATGTATATATTTTATATGCATTCAAACACGCGATGGTCTTTCCTCCCCTTCTCTGTCCTGCCCCAGGACAGAGTACTAAAATACTCAATCATCTGCATAAAACCCCCCACCTCTGAGCCTTTAGGAGAAAACGGCAATTAATTTATCCTACCAAAGGATGTGGAAAAGTGGATTTACAATATTATAAATACAAGCATTTGATTCCCAGTCTCTGTATTGCAGATTTTTCCAACAGAAAGCCCATAGGGCCCAGCGTTTAATTACTTTGGCTAACGCTATAGGCAGTAATTCTGTGGTGAATACTCAAGTGTTTCATTTCTGGTTTCCATGGCAACATTACATCAGATTGCAGACAGCTGGCTCCAGGGTTTTAAACCATAACAAAGTGACCAAGCCAAAGCACAGAACTATAGCCCCTTTAAAGAGATAGTACACCGCTGCCTGCCAGGGTGCTGAATGAGGAACGCAGGGGGGCCCTTTGGCTCGCAGAGGTGGGTGGAGCCTCCTTCCCGCTCCGCTCCTTTTGGAACATGTGTGTCCTTGACACATCTGCAATGTTCTAATAGGAAAGACACGGAGCCAGCGTGGAGGACTTTTTATGACACAGCTACATTAAAAATGATCAGGGGGGAAAAGGGAACACAATTAACAGCATCTGTTGATACAAACATTTGTGCACTGGTGCAAACTCATAGTGTTTGAGCCCGTCACTGCAGGTCGGTAAACAGATAATTCACTGGACCCTGTGACTACAATTCTTGCAAATCTGAGGAAACCAACAAATGCTTT